TGGGGAGATTAGAGAGATAGCCAGCTGGTAGACAGGCTAGACTGAGCCCAGATCCTCTTTCTTCTAAATTACTCTTATGCCTATTTATTAGGTTGGTTGAGGACTGCCGACACAGAGTCATTCATTCATTCACATTCAAATTCTGTTTCAAATTCAGAAAAGCACTGTTAAGAAAAAAAAAACTAAAGAATGAAGTTCAAAACACTTTACTTTTTTCTGATATTAGCAAATCCATTAAAAAGATTTAACTTAATTATCACTGACTTTAATAAAAATAAATTTCTGAGAACAGCAAAATGGATAAACCAGTTTAATTCTTTCTTAATAGACCTGTAATAATTTAATGAAAAAAGAATGAGAAACTTTTGGCTATTGTTGCATGGGATCTAATTGGAATAACTTCTGTGGTCATCCCATGGGGTTTTGAAAATATGTGTTAGAAGGTATGTTAGCTCTTAGTAGTCTCTTTGCTTCTAGGGATTTTTTTTCTGGGTTAGATTAGTCATGCACTACATAATCCTTGGTTTCTGAGTAGCCCTCAATTTCAGCTTTCCTACTTGGACTACCTCAATGAGCCTGAATGAACTCTCTATTTCTCCTCCTGGGAACAGAAGCCTCAGGAATAAGTACTGTAAGCCAAGAAAGAAAAGAAACATCAGAAGAAAGGAAGAAGAAAATAAGTGAAAAACATAAAGGAAAAATGTAAAACTGAGAACAATACAAAGGATAAAAGGATAGAAGAATCAGAGAAAAGACAGGGGGATAAAACAGGAAAGGAGAAGGAAGAAATATGTTGTAAAAAGATTAGAAACATTATACACCACTATTTTTAATTCATCACTGTTTTCATGTTAGTTCACATGTATATAGCATTTTACAATTTGATAGTTTCACCCTCACAACTACCCCACAAAATAAATGTTATTATTATTCCCATTTTATCAGTTAGGAAACAAAAGTGATGTAACCTGTTCAGGGTAGTACTGCTGATGTATCTTTTGTATCTAATGTATCCATAATGTTTTCTTTTTCAATTTGTCACTTCTTTATTCCATGTGCACAGTATATGCAAGGATTCCTTTCACAGAAAGAAGAAACAACCCTTTCCAGTCAGAGAGCTCCATGAAGCTAGCTCATCAATGTAAGCCATCTAGGATACTGTGTATTAAAGGTCTGCCCTGCCCACCCTCCCCCCCAAAAAAAGCTGTAATATGAACAACATGAACCAGATATAATCAAGATACAAAACACAACACTAATAAAGAAAACAATGATACACAGGCACAAAAACCTTGCATGAGAACGATTTCACAATGATTCAGTATTAATATTTTAGGAGTATAAAATATAATATAGATCAATTCTATCTAAGAAAAATGAATAGGAGTGAGAGTCAAAGGTGGGAGTCAACCCAAGGACTTGCTGACCTGTAACACCAGGTGGTCTTTTCCTCTGTGCATTTCAGACTAGAATTTGTACCTCTCTTAGGTACTTCACATAATATTAGTGTTTTATAGTTCTCTGTGGTGATAGTTCCCGTTTTAAAGCACAAACTCCAACTGCCCCAGCACCCCACATCATATTCTACACACATTAGGTAACAAATACATATTGACTGAGTGGAACAAACATTTACAGGCAGAGATCTCTTAGAGTTACGCCTTTACATCCCTGATCAGAGACCTCAGACAAAGCACTTCCTTGGTTTTCCCATCTATAAAATGATAGGGTTGGAACTTAAAAGTTCCTTCTGCCTCTAAATCCTGTGATCCTGAAGACGGAAAGGCCCTATGGGGACAGCCAAAGGCTCAGCACAGGTCCTAATGACAGGTAAGCTCCCGTTTCCCTGTTTCCCAACTCCCCCCCCAGCACTTTGTGATTTACAAAACATGTTCCAATTTACCCCCATTTCATCAGTTTTCCACACTTGTTTGGATCAGTCTGGACTCCTTAATATGCCATGCAAGGAAACAGAGAAATTAGAAATGGACTGGGTAAGACCCAGAAGGTTAATATCAATAGCTCCTCAAAGCCCAAGCCAACGACCATGTTATGAGGGGGGAGGAGAAGCAAAGGACTGCCAATCAGGATGATGCTCAGTAAGGACTCTGTGTCCTCTGAGACCTCCAGAGTATTTATGAAGCCCTGGCAGTCACACTGAAATGTTAGCCAACTGGAGTTGGTCAATACTATTACTTGAGTTAGCACCCCAACTAGTGTGGCAAAAGTACTCCCATAAATCTAATAAACAGAGTCGCATGGGTTTGCAGGCTGGCTCAAAACCATCATGACAATTTGTTTAACATGGAGGACATGGGAGTAAGTAGTGTTCTTTCATGTTCTGATAACCGCAGAAAGGCAAGATTCGTGGGAACAAATCAGAAATAACAATACTGTCAGAATACCTGCTAGAAATGCTTCCAGATCTATAGTACTGACCAGTAAAGCTGTCAAACCATGAGTGTACATGGAATGGACTGAGGTCATGAATGCTTTCATTGTGTGCCTGTACTATACAATAACAAATTGGAAACAGATCTTACCAGTTATAATCAAGGCTTCATACTGCCTTTTGTCAACAGTATCCTCAGTTCCAAAGTGAGACAAAAATATATGGCCATCCACTGAAGGGTAATCATAAAAAGTAACATCATTCCTAAACCTAGATTAAATGAAATAAGGGTTGAAATCAAGGATTTGCTAAATTACGAATAAGAAAAAAGTTGGAATAACTGAAGTCACTGAAAACCTTCACTTAATGCATACTTCAGAAATTACACCTAATAATGAAACAGATGAAAAAAAAACAGCACTCAAAAAAAAACTCAAATGATTTTTAAAAGGTGATGAGAATGTTTAGATTGAAATATTGGAAAGTCCTTTTTGTCTTTGATAGCATGAATCCAACTAGCAGACCAATCACAACAAAACAGAATAATTCTAAAAAGCTAGTATCTACTATAACCATCATCAATGAACTCATTCTTCCACACTATTTGATAAAAGACATTTCAGTACCTTCAAAAAGCAGTATGCCCAGCAGTCATTAACATGGTAATAAACAGAAGATGAAATGTAATGCTGTTGAGGAATACCCCTAAGGCCAGGCATCAAACACCATGTCAGAAAGTGACTTGAGAGAATTCTTAAAGATCTACAGAAAAGCATCGAAAGATTGCATCAATATCTAGCTGGTAGGTGTAGTAGATAACTTGAATGTCACGTTGTCCATTTAAAGATAAAAAAAAACTGTAGAAAGAACTGGAAAATAGGGAGAAAAATCCAAAATTCCAGATTCTTCTAATTACATTTGGAAGCAAAATTCAAAAGGTTAAGGTGATAAAAGTAATCAAGGCAGTGCACAGAACAAAATAAATAATTCAACATTCATCAAAAACACAAATACAGAGACTTGAGAGATAAAGAAATAAGAAGTGAGAGAGAACTCCCAAAGGAGGAGAATGTGGAAAATTCCTAGTCATCTATGTGGTTACAAGAGGTCCAACACAAGGAAAACACCATTTAGATCAAATGAAAAAAAGAAAGCTTGAGCAGCATTAATATAATGAATGACAAAACAGTTATATCAAGGGAAGTGACTGAAATGAAATCCTGGCTTCTCTGTTAACTGGAAAGCTGTGGGGCCAGAAAACATCCATCATTAATGGCTGAAATGCTTCAATGGTAAATAAATTATTAGCAAATATCAGCTCTTTTCCTTGCGTTCATAGGACCATAGAGCTGGAAGAAACCTTAAAGATATTGACGCTTTAGACACAAATCTAATGCCATTTATCAGTTATCTGCTACCAAAAAATGAGAACACCAGAGACCTCTGCAAATATAGGCCAATTTAGTGTCTCTGCACTTTATGCAAAGCTTTCATAGTTTGCAGCACTTAAAAAAAACCTTTAGAAAATATTTATAAGAAAATAATATGTTGTCTGAGGAGCAAACAGGAATAGGTAGATGGTGGGGGGGGAAGTCTGTGAACACGAATGGGAAAAAATATATATTTTTACTAACTTCTAACTGAAATTTAGCAATTCCTTCAGTAGTTTTAAGGCATTATTCTGACATGCAGACAAAGGGGTTTGTGATACATCAGAAGGTTAAGAACATCTGCCGTAGAGAAAGTTGCAGGAGACTATGTCTGCATGCTCCTAGAGTTCTCCAGCAGTTGATGTTGCTGGAGAACTGTAATGCTAGTGAGTAATATCTGCCACAGTCTGTCTAGTCACATGTGCTGGGGTAAAATGTCACTGGCTCAAAGGAAACACCAGGAAAGGATAAAGGAAAGGAGAAAAGGCAAAAGGGGAAGGAGGGGGAAAGTAGGAAAGATATGGAAGTGGGGAAGAGGGGGCAAAAAAAGGGAAAGGGGACACAGAGGAGAGGTGAGGAAGGGTGATAGGAAAGTTGGTTTTATCAAGTACTTTCCATGTGCCAGGCACTAGGCTATAAGCACTTTACACATTTTGATCCAATTTGATCTTGGAAGCAGGTACTATTATTATCCTCATTTTACAGCTGAGGAATCTAAGGCAGTGATGCTTAATATGCTTAAGACAGCTAGTGTCTGAGATGGTATTTAAACTCATATCTTCCAGACTCAAGACCCAGAGTTCTATCTTTTGTGCCACTTGGCTGCCTCTAGGCAGAACAAGTGGTTTTGTAATTTCTAAAAACTGTGTCAGCCTTACTGCATATTTACACTCCTTTAATGCTAATTCCCAGTTTTCTTCAATAAGAGAAGTACCTTTACCCATCCCACAAGACAAACTGACCACAGCATTTCAGTCTTCTCTGATAATAGGCTAAGCCCTTGGGAGGAAGCAATCATTTCTGATGATGCCAGAGCGCCATTAACTAGCGTCATCTGCCCCTCTATTTGGAAAAGGAAATGAAACTTAAACCACTCACTTTTGATACTTGTTAGAAGCCCTAAAGTGCAGGCTTGCTAGAGAGAGGGGCGGATGTTGTTAACTTAGGTTTTGAATTACCTGGGGATTTCCGTGATTCATGCTGTCCCTGATTTCCATCACGATGAATAACCTCAAGGTGGCTACATTAGCATTCACCAAGTGTTGAAAGGCAACACTAACACAACAATGACATAACAGAGATAGGCATGATTCCCTCCTGGTGGTCCTATGACCTAAGATAGACTCACAAGGCAAACAAACCCAAGGTTTGAGAAGGCGGGGGAACTGGTCCTGGTGAGTGGATAATTGACATCTGGTTTCAATCGACAATTCTTTATTGATAACTTGGGCCATTTGTGACACAGAAAACAAATGGGCATGATTTTCCTGATACTATAATAATGAACAGGGGAAGGAGGGGTTTTTAGGATGTTGGGGAATTAGCTTTTTTCCTTGGCTTCAAATAATGCGAGGAAAGGGAAATTAGACAGAATCAAAAATGATAAATAACCTGTGAAAACCATTAACAAAACATTGTACATAATCTAAGTGTCCTAACTGCAAGATTCATTCTTGATGGCACTTTTCTAAAAAATGAGATAGAATTCTAACTCAAACACTTCATTTATTAAAATAATTATAAATATGTGTGTGTGTGTGTATATATATATATATATACACATACACATGTTTATGTATACACACACACACACACATACACACACACACACACATATATATATATATATATGGTATTTGAACTTATATCTTCCTGTCTCCAGGCCCAGTATTAAAACGGGGAGGAAGGCAGAGTCAATTCTTCAATTGCCATTGTGGTGTTTCTGAGCTCTCTTCTGCCTCGCCACCCTACAAGTCCACAATGAACATGACCCCCAGGTTATCTAGAATGTAAAGAAGAAAAGGGGCAGCTAGATGGTTCAGTGGATAGAGCGCCAGGCCTAGAATCAAAAAGACTCCTCTTCCTGAATTCAAATCTGGCCTCAGTCACTTACTTTATGACTCTGGGCAAGTCACTTAATTTTGTTTGCCTCTGTTTCCTTATCTGTAAAATGAGCTGGAGAAGGAAATAGTAAATCATTCAAATATCTTTGACAAGATAACCCCAAATGGGGTTATGAAGAGTTAGACATGACTGAAACGACTGTACAAACAACAAGGAAGAAAATGAGAGAGCCCTGCTTTGAGTACCAACATGGTCTGCCTGTTCCTTCTGAGAAAAGAGTCAACCCAGCCTGTTCCCAAGGAAATAATTTCAATTCATTTTAATGCTAACATAACAGAAGAGTAAAATGACAAATGATAGAGGGGATGTGGAAAAACGGGGACATTAATGCACTATCAGTGGACAGAAATCTACTGCCCCTAAGCAGGAACAAGTGATTTTATAATTTTTTATGATTTTATAATTTTTATGATTTCTAAAAGCTGTCAGCCTTACTGCATATATACGTGTATATGTGTCTGTATATCCCTTAATGCTGATATTATCCCTGAGTTTTCTTCAATGAGAGAAATCCATTTACCCACCCCATAAGAGAAACTGACTACAGCACCCATACCAATAATAATTATGTAACATTTCGTATTGGCATGAACGGCATAGTGAAAAGAGCACTGGACTTAGAGTTAGGCAATCTAGTTTCAAGTCCTGATCCTCAGGATACATGACCTTTGGCAAAGCAATTTCCTCACTGTATCTCATTTCCACATCTATAAAGTGGGGATAATAATATTTATATATTCTACCTTACAGGATTGTTCTGAGGAAAGTACCTTGTAAGTACCTTGTAAACTTTAAGGTGCCATAAACACGAAAAAAGCTTTCTATTAATTACTTCTCAAAAAATTTTGGCCAGTTCTTTTGCAGATGAAAAAGCTAATTCATGGAGAATTAACAGACCAGTTAGTGAAAGAGGAACCATTGGAATAAACATTTTCAATTCAATTAAGCAAGTATTAAATAAGCACCTACTATGCAAAAAGCCTGTGCTAGGTACTGGAGACACAGAAATGAAATTGTGAACTGAAGAAGCTTACATCATGCTGCAGGATACACCATGAGAATAAATAAGCAAATTGAGAGAGAAAGAGAGAGAGGAAAGTGGGGGGGGGGAGGGAAGGGGAGAAGAGGGAGAGAAAGAGAGAGCGGGGAGAGGGAGGGAGGGAGGGGGAGAGAGAGAGAGCTAACAATTGGAGAGGAGAGGTGAGATCTGGGAAGGTTTCTATAGAAGTACCTTGAAGGAAGCTAGAGACCCTAAGAGATTTTGGTGGTAAGGAAGAAGGGCATTCTAGGCAATGTAGACAAAACTATACAAAGTCATAGAAGCAGGAGATACAATGCCAAGTTTGGTAAATAGCTAGTAGTCCAGTATGGTTAAAATGTGCATTGTAAAAATGAGAGTAATATAAAATGTCTGGAAAAGTAGGCAGAAGCCAAGCTATGAAGGATTTTACATGTCAAGTTGAGGAGTTTGTACCGTACATTAGAGATAGGAGGCAAGATTCTTGAATCAGGGTGTGGCATGATCATAACTGCACTTTAAATATATTAAGGTGGTGGTTGTATGAAGGATGGATTGGGGGTGACAGGGAAGAAACTCAAAGCAAGGAGACCAAATAGAAGGCTGGTAGATTAGTCTAAGCAAGAGGTAACAGTAGAATGAACTAGGGTAGCGGCCATGTAATTACAGAACAGAGTGAAATGGGAGAGATATTGTGGAGGCAGAAAAATGCAGGCATGGCAACTGATTAAATATGAGGCTGAGGGTGGGGAAAGAGTCAAGAATTCCTCTGAGGTTGCAAAACTTGGTGACTAGAGATGTTGTGTTGTCCTTGAAAGAAATAAGGAGGTTTGGAGGAAAGGAGAGTTTAGGAGAAAATATAACAAGTTCTGTTTTGCACATGCTGAGTCTCAGCTGTCCACAGCACTACCAGGTGGTGTCCAGAAGACTGTGGGTGATGTGGCTCTGGAGTTCAAGAGCTATCATAGAGCTCAATAGGTAGATTTTAGCATTATGTACTGAAGTTGAGGGGTGATCAGGGACTCCTAATCAATTGAATCCTGACAATTCCCTTGATGAAATTACAAGATATGGATCTTTGTCAGAAAGGGGCATTTATATTGGTCATGAGCTCTAGCCTCAAGTTGAGACCCATGTGCCTTGCTGTAATGACATAACAGCTGCTGGTTGTTCCCTGAGAATTGACATAATTAAAGGATTGTGTTAAAGATAATTGGCCACAGGACATATTGTAGAGGAGCCTTCTGTAGTCTCTAAGAAGAGCTGGAGAAATAACTCTTTTGGGCCCATCCCCTGCCTTATCTCCCTTGGACTTCCAGCAAGGTGAAGAGTGGTGGACAGGGATTTCTCAACCCTCTCTTTCCACCCCTACTCAGAAGCACTTGGTGGTGGGAACACATGCTTGCCTAGATGACCTAGAATTCCTGGTCTCTACCTTATGCTTTGGGGGAGCTAGGTAGCACAGTAGAGTGCTGGGCTTTGGAGTCAGGAAGACTCATCTTCCCGAGTTCAAATCTGACCTCTGACACTTAATAACTGTGTGACCCTGGGCAAGTCACTTAACCATTTTTGCCTCAGTTTCCTCATCTGTAAAATGAGCTGGAGAAGGAAATAGCCAACCACTCCAGTATCTTTGCCAAGAAAACCCCAAACAGGGTCACAAAGAGGCTGACCTGACTGAAAAACAACTGAACAACAACACCTTATGCTTTCCACTGAGCAAAGGCCAACAATCAGCAATTCTGAGAAATGGACATTTATTTATAGTTTGTTGGTGACATTGTGGACCAAGAATTCTGGTCAGGTGCCAGCTGGCCAGTGGGATGCTATTTCCTCAATTACAACTACTTCTTAGAGGAGAAGAGTACCTCTAGGAGGAACAAACCACTGGATCTAAAGAAAGGATTAAACAAAGCCAAAGTCATTCCCTGGCTGGTCAGGAGATGCAGACACCGAGTTGTTGGTCAGTGCAGATCCAAGGTGCATGTGAAAGTGCTCCACAATCCCACTAAACTGTCTTTTCTTGTACAATCAATGTGACAGTTTATTTGTTAAGGTAAGTTTATGAGTCTTTTATTCACCTTTGTCTGTATAGTAAAGAAAATAAGCTAATCAAAAAATTTTGGAGACCATTGGTCTCCATTGGATATCCATTGGATGGGACAAGCAGGTTGTTTTGTTCTGTTCTCCAGTAATGGCAATGACAAAGCTGTTTATCTTCTCTCTACAATCTTCCCTCCTGACCAGCTTCCAAAGAAACACAACTCCAACTCAGATTCTTAAGATCTGGCCCTTTTGCATTAGTGATACAAATGCTTAGATTCCTTAATAGCCTGGCCAATATGGCAGATTTTAATAAACTTTGTCTTTGGCTGAAAGAAGGCTTGGGTCAAATTCATTCTGGCAGGACCTGTGTGTTGTGATTTGGGATCCCAATACCCCTAAACCTCAACATTTTGGTGGTCCATATGGGAAAGTTGCCTAACCCCAAGCTCTTCTCCAGCCAAGATGGAAGGCATATAAACCTCCCCCCTCTTTCTTGCCCTGTAATTGGGGTTGCTCTCCAAGTACCTAAGTACTTTTCTGGCAGACAGTTACGAGGCTGTCTCACACTTGGCTTGATGCTTTCAGGCTCTCAGTCCACTGGTTCCATTTGAGGCCATGGACCTAGGTACACCTTCCACAGCACAGAAAACAAGGATGGATGACCTATCCAGAAGCATATGCCCAATTCTGTCAATTCTCTCTGTGCTAGAGAATTGGGAAAATTGCAGGTGCTTTTTGGTTCCCTGAGGCTTACTTATTCCCTTCCCTCTACACCCCTGAATCTTACAGGGAAAAGTTAGAACAACTAAAAGCATCTTAGCAGATTCTGGAGGTTAAGCAGTTTTGAAACAATTCCTTACAACCCTGGTCACTCCCTTCTCCCACTCCCTTCCCTTGAGTCAAGAGGGTATCTTTGTTAACCCCTCTCATAGGAGAAGAGAGTTTCACCCTTCCCCTCCCCTTACCTTCCAATTCACCCTCCCCCACCCAGTGAAAGGAAGGAATGGGGAGGGGCAGCAGCTACAGTA